GCTTGGTAGGCTTATGGAGGTAGGGGAGGGCAAAGAGGGGATTCTCATAGTCCCTGAAGAGCCTCAAACCTTTCCTTTCCCTGAAGAACACTTGTTGCTAGCATTAGTAGTAAGTCACTGCCATCAGCTATATTTAAATACTTTTCACATGAAATATTTTTAACGAGTCCAAAGACCAGAACTAATTCCTTGATATAGGGATATAAATAGCGAGGTATCAATAGACAGACAGGCTGGTACCTTTTAGAGTACCAGTCTCCAACCTAAAGTGAATTGCTTTTTATTGCACCCATCTTTTTGCCAAGTCTTGACACCAAATCTGCAGAGCCAAACAATGTGAATTAACAAATTCTCAGTTCTCTGCAGCAACTGGAGATAACAGTGACTGCATTAGCATAGTGTCTCTGCTGCCAGTTTCTCATGCCAAGCCCTGCTATCAACATATTTCATTGTGCTTCTCACTCACGGCTGTTGTCTACCAGTAGATAGGACACTTAATTTGGGGAGGGGTGTGATTTATAATAAACATCTATTAGGGTGGGTTTGAATTACCCATTAGTATAGCCTTGCTTTACAAAGTTAAGGCCGGTTCTGAAATACCGGCTTTACTTGATGGTTTGTATAACCTTTTTCTTCTTTTCACCATAACATCTGAGAACGACATAAGCAGTTGATGTGTTTTTCTACAGAATTCCCCTCTGAATAAGGAGAGTACTATTAGCCGTACTACAAACAGGGGAAATTAATGTGAGGCCTGAACTGACTGAACAACAGCCAAGCTTCAGACGGGAAATCTGTAGCACAGCTAGAAATTGAATCCTGACTCTGATCCAAGCCCACCTTGTCTATAAGGCCATCTCTCATCTGACTGGACTCATCTCCAGAAGAAGGAATGATTTCCTACAGCAGAATCACTGCTGTATTCACTTCAGCTGTCTCAAAATGGGAATAGCTGCTCATTCACATAGGCAAGCACATGCCAAAGCTGTGCAGTCCTGAGGATGCTGAAGTGAGGCTAGTCCAGTCTCCAGGGTACCCAAAATCTCTGCCTGGGGATGCGGTTGGGTGATCAGAGCAGAGTAGGCTGAGTCCTAAAGCCGCCTAAATCCTATAAAGATTTCGAGGCAGGCTGTGAGGCAGTTTTCTGGCAGAGCTGCCTGATCAGTTTGTGCAAGCATTACATAATCATTTCACTACAAACTTGGCCGCCTTTGCATAGGTTAAGCCCTTGTCCTTGTCCTGGAATGGAAGAGCCATTTTTGCTTCACTTTCACTTACGCGGTTCAGGGGCAGTAATTTCCAAACTCATTCCAATATGACTATGCCCTTTGGCACACAGTGATTTTTTTTTTTTCCAGCGTACCGCAGTTTGTTGTGCCAGGTGTAGTGCTCTTAACGTTACGTGTACAAGCTGATTGTTGTTAATATTGGCAACATCCCCGAACTTCATTTCCTCCAGATTCTCATGTGATCGCTCATTTAAACAGAGTAATTAATTTGGATTTATCGAGACACACAGGAGGGACACTGTACAAATGTTTTTATGTGAGTTGCCAGCAGCTCTTGTAATATGTTCATTTGGGAGACTTCCGGTCTTAACTTTTTATTTTTCTCCCTTACGCTGCCACAACAGAGTCATCTTTAAACAGCTTCTACCAGCGAAGGCCTTGAGTTATCTCCAAATTGACAGCTGCAGGCTGGGAAGTGTGAATGAAAACTTGTCTGCGCTGCTGATGGCCAAAAATTTCCAGAGTAAGGCTCTGCAGAATGCAGCAGCGATACAAAAATGGTTCTCTCCCCGCTAGTCTGATTAGTTTCTTCAGCACGTGATCTCTGAGCATAAGCTTGCGTGCACTGCTGTCATTTTCTTTGTTTCATGTCATGCTGTAGGGCTGCGCCAAAGGGCTTTTGATGTCTTGGTACCAGGCACCATCTTTCTCTAGTACGGACTTGGGGGGGGTCTCTGTGAATTAGTTCAGCACTTGACAATATTTGATTATATCCCAGTATCTGAAGGCCTTGAAAGCAGGTTAGTTATACAAAATACTCCAGTAGCAATCGACTATGGTGATCGTTCTCTTTTTTTTCTTAAAAAAGATGTTGCTCCATGGTGGTCACAGCACGCATTTGTCTTGTTACCCTACAAGCCCACCTACCTGTGGGCTACGAAGGGAAGTTACAAGTGCGGATTAAACTTCAAGCAGGTGAAAGCCAATAGTTTGTGGGTTTGATAAAGGTACTTGAAACTTGGGCTGTATTACACACTCAGAAACTTCACAGATGCCAGTCACTGTGGTGGCAAACTCACCAAACCAGACCAATTAACAGACTTGATTTTGATGGGTGATCAGCTAAATGTTTGTCTCAAAATTCAGAAATAGTTCCTACTTTTCTGACTCCTCATCTATCATGACCAGATAAATAATATTCTTTCTGGTATTGCAGTAAGGCAAATTTCGCAACATACTAGAACACGTCAGTAATAACGTAGGCTATGAAAGCTTGTCTTAGGAGGTAGAACCTAGAGAGAGTCAGTATTGGAACAAAGTGGTAAGAAGTTTCTTTGGTATCTGCAAGTTGATTGAATCGCCCATGGAAAGTGGGGGAAAGGATAAAAGGATGTACTCAGAGGAGGAATTGCAGGAGAAAATTCTTCAAGGCCAAATTGTGAGGCAGAATGCGTGTAGCAGCCAGCAGGGCAAATGGCAAGGCCTCGGAAATGCTATGGAAATGCAGAGCTGGTTAAGGACCTGACTTCTAATGCCTCCTGTGCCGCTCTTCAAGTCATCAGCGGGGGAGAGCAAGGGACAGGGAGCTGGTGGGACAGCTTAGTCATCAGGGAGTGAGCCCAAGAACGCCCCCATCTCTCAGCAGGCCTATGGGTTCCTTTCATAACTTCCCAAAAGGATCTACAATGTCCCGTTTTGTCTAAAATCCTGCTCTGAATATAGCCCGCAGTCATACTAGTCATCTTTGCAGCAGTGAGCAGTCTTCATATTCTGCCAATCAAAATTCCTCGAGCACCTCCTGTTTAAGTCTATATATTCAAATTCTTTGAATATTCATATTTTTTGCTTGAAATCACAGAATTCTCCTGCCTATTAATTTAAAATATGTGTATTTTCACTTTTATTCACATTAAAGTCTGGTTTTACATCTTTCTCCTCTTTTGAGCAGCATAAACCTTCTTGGACTTCAAGGTACAAGCTTCATTTCAACAACCGCTATTGGTAGTAAATTGTGCTGATGGACAGTGAGGTTGTAGTTACTTCCTCTACTGAAAAGCAGTAGCTCTTCCAGAGCTCTCTCTATATTGGCCTGTTTAAGCATGCTGTGGACCTCCACACACCTACGGGAGAACAGACCATTTGTCCTGTTTCATAAAGGTACTATTTAAAAGGGGGTTTTAAATTTTTCCTTCTGATGGGACTAACTCCTCTTTAATTTATGAAAGGAATAAATGATTCACATTCCAAATTCCTCTCTTGAAGTTAACTTCACCAAGACTGCCGATTCCCACTAGTCAAGCCCTGAGGCCAACGCTTGTTTTACATCCTCTCTGGCGACACTCGCTAAAATGCCCTGCAGATTCCACCTCATCTGACGTCTTACATGAAGTGGTTTCCAGCAGAAGGGACTTAACTTGCTAAGTGTAGGCAGAACTGCTAAGTGGATTTGCAACCTAAACTGTTTTCTTGTACTTTAGAGGGCCATAAATACACTCGAGAACCTTTAACGCATAGAAGGATGCACACGGTAAGAAGCTGCTGACAACCTACAGCTGGGAGGTGTCATTAACGCAGATGACCCCTGTAATATCCAAACTAGGTGACTTTAAAGTAGGACTAGTAGAGCAGAGATGAAATTTATGAGGAGCATGTGACATGGCTTTCGGCTCTAGTAACAAGAATACTGCTGCCTGTGAGTTCAGTCATGTGAAAGAAGGTAAGGGCCCTGTGTGTTTAATGCAGGCTGGCCCCTGGGCGTCCATTTAATGCAGCCTCAGAAAAAGATCAGTTGGATCCTTCCACGTACGTTTCCCCCATGATTTCAGCTGAAATAGCACACTGTCTGATCATCTCTGTCCAAGACAGAAGGCCTACAGTAGATACTGAAGAAAACCTTTCTAATAAGCAGCGGCCTATTTACATTTGATGTACTTACAAAAGGTAAAGTCCTTTTACTGCAATTTTCTGCTAAAAAAATTTTTATTAAATGTATTCTCTACAACTCATATAAAAGACTTCTACAACCTTGAAGGAATCCTTTATCGTACATAAAAGTTCTCATTTTCAGTACTCAAGCAAGTGCTACTCACACACAGTAACTGAATGGTAACCAAAGTGGCCACTGGTACCTGAAACAGCTTGTAGAAAACATCTCACTAACAACTTAAAACTGGGTATAGCATCTGCATA